GAAATTGTTATGTCTCAAGCTTGGTAGCGTTCCTGCAATCTTTTGGGAGTTTCATGTACAGTTACGTTTATGAGTCAGTTCTGCGACCTCTTTTTACTTTAATTTCCAAATCGTGAAAAAAAAAAGGTGCCGGATCCAGTGGTACGAGAGTTAGCTACTGGCTTCCTAAACGTGGCTGGAGAGGGGGATTGTCAAATAGCGAAAAACATCAGTGTTGCACATCATACACACACAGGATATTATAAAAACCCTAAAACTAAAGCCTTAGCTAACGGCTAAACGTCGCAAAATTAAATCTTGCGGCAATTCCCAAACCAATCATATCGTCTATTCGTTTTGCTAGGGAATGAGCCAAGGAAACGATAGATGTGACTGAGATCGTTGATGTGGCGTTTCTTAGTAACGAACATGGGTATCCAAAGACCGTTGGCAGCGCTGGGAGCCCAAGAGGTGTTCTTTGCTGGGTCACAAATTGAAACGGGTCTCGTCCGAAAACACTGCATTGTGCCCCTCAACACATCAGTGAACACGTTCACTTGCCCATTGCTAGCTGAGACCTTGGTGCTTTCTGGACAAAGGAATCCGACGCAGTGGTATGTTTGTCACACGACCAGCCCTCAGCAGAAGGCGTCGAACCATCGACGAAGACATGTCCACACCCGTTGCAGTGTTCCAAAGTCGAGTCGAAACTGAGGACGACGCCGATCTACCGGTTACGGCCATGAGGACAAGATGGCGGTCATCTCACGATGTGGTCACATCACTTGTACCTGCTCGTCGTTGTCTATGACTCTCCTCTATTCACTAGTTCCACACACGCATCACTCTCGTAGCAGCGCGCCCCGTTCGAAACCCAATGTCACGGTTCGACAAACCCGCTTCCCGGAGGACAAACATTCTGCCACGTTCTAACTGACTCAGATGCCCTTGAGCGTCGACGAGACACACCGGCACTTGCTTGCACATTTCCACGTCGTTTGACGGCTCTACACTGACTGCGTGTGGCGTATTATTGTCCTGACCTGTCTCACAAAGGAGGGCGCTGCTTAGCCAACGTGTTAGCCATTATACGCAAATTTCTTATGGACACACAGGTTTACACATCTCCCAATTTTTAAGTGATTCCGACAATTCCTTTTGGGTGTTGAATTTTCACAAACCGCAGTGTAATTGGCAAATTTGTAGGGCGTGGGAAATGCCTTCTTTTATTTTTTATGACAGCATACTAATTTTGTAATACATTGTACAAAACGACAAATCGTGTCCGAGGCTTGAAGAGTTTGCTACATTAATCCAAATTTGATTAACAAATAGAGCGTATTGATTATTCCATGTTTTCGGGCCCGTCTTTCTGCTATGGACATTATTTCTGTAAAAAAATCTTCACTTTCCGATGAAGATTTACAATACTTCTCATACACAATACATTCTCTTTAGTTCGTAAGTGCGCTGTACTCGAAAAAATAAAAATTACATAAAAAAGAAAGAAATATGGATTACTGAACGTACAACTAAAGATATTTTAAGACATGTTATTTGCCAAATGGTATGTAGGCACAGTAATCTATCATGTGCATCGTCACCCCTCAACATCCTGAAACTATTTTCAGTGTTATTGATGGGCTAATGGTGGATTAATACATTCGAAAACGAGGGCGAACTTGCATATGTTATTTATATTTACCTGACCAACCAACATCACGTGCACAGTATACCAGTATTGTCATGTAGTTTATAGTGTCCCGTGGTTTCCAATTAGTCTAATGCCGTCGTGTGCAACTCTCGAGGGATGTAATCTGGAATACTGAGCGGAGCACGACGCGACCGGAGGGCCGCGGGGCAGGGGGAGCGGAGCGGCCGGGAGCACGGGCGCAGAGATACATCAGACGTCGGCGTGGGTGGGGAAAAAATGAGTCAAAATGCGACTGTTACGAAGGCAATTCAGGGGAGATGTATTGCCTAAGTTAGTGATTAATAAAAATAATTAAATAAATGTTAATATTGATTACTTTTTAATTTACATTATTTTATTTAAGGCTTTATGTAGTTTGCGAGGTTTAATTGGTAAATATTCAGAAAATATATTACCTAATGATATTGCATTGTAGATATTTTCTTGCGATGTATTATGTTACTTTGTAAAAACAAATGTTGCAGTTTATTATTTGTAACTTACTACTGCAGAACATTCCACTGTAAATCAATGGTTCAGCATCACTTTGTTGCTTGAGGTATAGCTTACTTGCCTGACCACAATTAAATACATGTAATTTTGTAAAGATGGTGATCTCAAGGGACCCTGAGCAGGTGAAGGTGGAAATTAAAGAAAAAATGTACACTGTAACAGTTTTAACATTTAAAATCACAGTATAATCTGACTCAGAGCAAACACACACAACTACACAATACACATATGAAACACACTAATCAAATGAAAATGTCCTGTCAAGTTTACACACATTATGAAAAAAAATTGAAGAAGAAAAATCAAAATTGAATAAGAGTCGTCTAGATTTTCCAAAACATAACCTTTGTAACCTACAAAACTATTTCTATAGGATCCTCCCTAGGAATAGTTCAGTAAAAAAACATGACACTCAAATACGCAAAAAGATCTTTACATTGGAATAAAGATCTTTCTTGCACTCACATAATTTTCTGTTACACCAATGCTTAAATATTAAATGTTCTTTTTAATAAATTGTATTCTTTTCATATAATTTTATCCCAATGATTGATTGATTAGTGATCGGAGAAACCTTGCAAGCAAAGGAGGGCGGGAAGGAGGGATAGACAGCGGTCGCCGATAACGAATACCAGCGGGCCTTTCCTAATGTTTCAGAGAACATGTGGTGAGACTATCTAGAGCCGTTAATTTTCTTTCGGTTTGGAAAGAAAGGTTTCCTTTTGTAGATACCGTAACAATTGCGAAGTGTTCAGTGTGTTCAAAAGAACTGCAGTATGTTAAAGAGTTCAACCGATGAGGCATTACGCAGCTTTGCAACTCAGAGAAACACGCCAGATGAAAATATTTTTTGATAATTTACAGATAGCCTGCAATCATGAAATGAGAAAAGCATTTTGCAAATAGAAGATTATGGAAAAGGAATTGAAAATCACGAAGATTTAAAACAATCTCAAACAAAACTGTACTGTATAAATAATCAACCCTGGAGTCCAAATTCTCCTACGTGACTTTTTCCGGGTATCTATTTGTTAACATTTACTACACGTGCACACAAAATAAAAATTTCAGACCTAACGACTTTATACATGGTTCTCTATGTCGACGTGTTGAATCTGAAGCCAGATTTGCGCCACCACACTTCAGTTTTTTAATCGCGAAAACCACCGTGGAATTGTAAATGGAAAATGTCATATTTTTTTCGTAATTTAACAAAAAACGGACGGTGTTGGCGTAATTCTGGCTTCGGTTCCGGGTTCAGTGCGTCGACATACATAAAAAAACATGTCTTGTGTCTGACAACAACCCACGAAAACAGAAAATATACAATGTCACGGTGGGTTTTTGGGAATAAAAAAACTGGAGGGTGGTGGCGCAATTCTAGCTTCAGATTAGCCAACATTTTCCCCCTCACTTCCGCACCATCAGTGGCCGTACCGTACTGGCAGTGGCGTGAAGTGCAGTAACGTGAAGTGCAGTGACGTTCTGAAACTGAGAGAAACGAGTGAGAAAGAAAGACATTACAGCTCGCTGTTTTACAGTGCGGTGAAGTGAAGTGTGGTGAAGTGGAGTTCTATGAAAGATTGAACGCTGAAATGTTCACGTGAATTTGTAAAATTTCTAGATTTTGTAAAGTTGTTAAGTTCTTTAATGTTAAGTTAGTGTATTCTGCCATCAAGTTCTCAAACTTAATTGCAGTATTATTAATAAATATAATCTAAAGAATTAGAACACTGTGAGCCCGCCGCCGCGTCTGGCACTACACTTTCTCAGTAGCTTCATTCCGAGCAGGAGAGCAGATTTTTGTGATGGTACAGAGCATTGAGTTGGCAAGCCCTGCCCTAGACTGCCCATTAGCGGGGCACCGACACCGTCGAGACAACCTCTAAGTTCCCGACCTTTCTCCCGGCTTGTGTGGTAGTGTAGTGCATGTAAATAAAAATGTGTGTAGGTAAGGGGTGGGGATAGGACAAGGAAGAGGAAATGATTTTTTTCTCTCTTTGCCTCTCACAAAAATTGTTAGTACCATGAAACAAAACAATTTTTGAATTGTTGAGGAATTATATCTTTATTGTCTTTATTAGCGTCTTCATTTCGATTCTCCTCCCTGGTAGAAATTCTCCAGAATGCACAAAAGAATTTGTCGTCTTAGGAATGCAGGAATGGTCATGTGGTGGCCGATTACCTCTTTCCGGCTCCGAGCCACTCACGTTGTATAAGTGTGCCCTTTTCTTAAGAAATTATGGGCATAGTCCGAAGAAACCGGACAACTACGAGATTAAATTCATTTTAACAGTAATTAGAAAGTCAGACGTTTTACATGTAAGTTCCAAAAATTCCAAAATAGGCCATAAATAGAACCATTAGAATAGATTTTCAACATATGCTATGCAACACATACTATGCATTAAAAAACACCAAAAATATTGTTATTTACAATTAAATTGTTCATTTCATAACGTATAAATAATGTGCAAATATTTACCTCAGTTGTTGAGCCTTGGGCTTTTTCCCACACGTAAATGGAATTTGATTCAATTGTTATCTGGCAATGTAGTATCCAACGGCAATACAGCTAAAAGAGTTGCCGTGAACTACGTGACCATCCCTACCAGTCGCATAAATATAATTATTATACGAGTATATCATACATACAAAAGGGAATTAAATATGTTGAGTATAAAAATATTAAGTGCAAAGATTATTGAGTTTGAACACCTTGTGAAGAGCTTTCTTCCGTAAAAATCAAAGCTAGAAGAGTTATAAATACAACCTAAATGCTCAAAGGCTCCAGATGCTTCTGACGAGATCCTACATAGAGAGCGAGTCCCTCTGGCCGCTTTCCGCCGCCGAGGATTCGTTCTTCCGTGCCTTCGTACAAGCGCTCTACAGTGACGAGGGCGGGGGGAGTGACTCTTCCACGAAGGCGCCGGCCTTTGGGGCACTGGAATGGCAGTCGGGATGGAGGAAGGGCGACGGGGCGGGGATCAGCCAGGGAAAGGGGGTTGCGGCACCAAGGAAGGGGGGAGGAGAGCGGGGAGTCGGTGGCGGTGGACGGAGGGCGAGAGACGGAAATGAAGCGGCGGAAGGACTGCCGAGAGTGAAGGTATGCGACTTAAGGAGCTGAAGTAAACGGGGAGCGATTTTTTTTACGAAAAGCTATAGCGAAAAATAAATGGAACACGCGGCAATATTCGCTATAAGGTGAAGGTTGACAATAGCAATGGTCGTTAGTCCAGTAAGTATAGCGCGTGTATTTATTCTGGGAGGTGGCGGTGTTTTTCCCTGCTAGATTGCGATATCAGGCGACGATCTACACGTCAGCGGCCGGGGATAAATTTTAAAAAATGGGGAGAATAGCAATATTCCTATCCAGGTACCTCCTCCAGCAAGACACCGCCCCAGTCGCAACAAGCTCTAAGCGTCTGACTGGCCTCCCGACACGGGGGTGAAGTGCGTGTAAAGATGTGTGAAAAGCCTGATCGCTCGCGGTACATGACCTGTTTAATTGGGTACTTCTCGGGCATTCGCCTAGTATTAGTGGAACAAACCACGGAAAAGTACCGACCCGAGGAGCCGGCCGCTAGAATTCTCTTCCAGATTACAACTGTACTCTACCTAGCAATGTAGCTTGTGTCGAATATCCTGTTACCTCATTCCGCGCTCGACTGCCGAGCCGAACGGATCGCTCTTATCGTTGTGAACAGTGATAACCGTGTGACTGAAGAAAATCTGTGAATCAGTGGAAATCTTGTAGTCTGCGAAAACAGTGCCACTAGTGAGTGCTACGAAGTATGAACAATGGGTACTGCCCGACAACGGGGCAGCTCATCAGTAATGCTCTAACAACACTAAACAGTGATTATCCCATCCCAGATTTAAACGTATCGACGCTGTACCAAGAAGTAACGAAAACTACCAGTGACGAAGCGACATCAAAGGAACCTCAACCAAATCAACAGACCTCAATGAAACTGCAAAACCCGGACATCCCACAAGGTAACGCTATAGGCCGCACGGCAAAATTTGAAGCGTCCTTCTGTTGATAACAATTCGGCTAACGAGACAAAACGGTGTAACCTACAATCAAAACAAGACAATGTAGACAGTTCAACCCAATATCGTTAGTCGGTCACCATTAGAAATACATTTTTAGACACTGAACACTGAACCGGATCCCAGCAATCAAAATAGGTTTAGTTACGTCAATGAAAGCTCAGCAAGTGTGTCAGAAACAGTAAAAATCCTGCCAATTTATGTAGCAAATATAACAAACATTACGAACTTTAGCAAGGAGATTAATAGCAAAGTAAGAACCAGCTTCACACTTTAATTTATAAATAATACGGTAAAAATACAACCAGAAAAAATCGGTGACTTCAGAGACTTAAAAAAATAGTTAATTAACACTAGAAGACAATTTTATACCTACAAGGACCCTGAAATAAGAAATTATCAGTTGTATTCAAAAACCTGCACACGTCAATCATAAAAGAGAAAATCTACACCTAATTGAAAGAAAAACATCCATCACAGTTACCAGACTCGGAAAATCCAATTTCATTAATTGCACCCGAATTCAACGGGGAAGAAAACATAGAAAATATTTTAGAAATAAAACAAATAAGTAATCTCATTGTAAAAGCTGAAAGGAGAAGACGACTTAAAGGCCCCATTCAATGCATGAGATGTTTAGACTTTGGTCATACAAAAAATAATTGTAACCATAAAATAGAATGCTTTTATTGTTCCAAAATTCATTATTCTAAAATTCATTATTCTTCAACTTGCCGCCATAAAACCATGAACAATTCAAATGTTATAACTTTCAAGGAAACCACAGATCAGACCTCAGAAAAGTAGAATGCCCCAATTATAAAAAAAAATAAGCCAAAACCCTAACAATAAGAATCACTAAATTAAAAATAGATCCATTGGATCACACATTCCGCCACCTCAAAATACCCAAACTAACTTTCCCAAGCTGTCAAACACTGAAAACATCCCAAACTTTGCACACATAAACAACACAAACAGAACCAAAAATATTAATCAACATAACTCCCAAAATCTAAATTCACATGCGCACTCTAACGAGAATAACTTTCTCAACTCCCTGATCAACACAATAGCTACTCACATCATCAATATAATCAGTTCAATTACCCCATTCATAGTAAATACCATTCACCCATCTCAGCATACATTAATAATATTGAACCCAACGTGAATGTGGTCCGTGATTTGGGGCGGTGATCGGGGCGGTGATCTGGGGCGGTGATCGGGGGATTATCGGGGGCTTATCGGGGGTTTATCGGTGGGTTATCGGG